AATAAGAGAGACCACCTAAGATGGGTAGGGAACCTGGGTTTAGAATCATAATTGATATAAAATGTTACACTTTCAACATGATGGCGGATCACGACGAGGCGAGTCACATTCCGACGATCCCCAATGTCAGAGAAAATATTCCAGGTAACGCCGGTAATAACGAGGGTGCCCCGATATCCCCTCGTACCGAAAGGCTCATGAAACATATGACGGATCAACTTCAAATAGCGTTTGAACAACAACGACCTGAATTTGAGAAACGGTTAACGGAGGAGCGGGAACTTGTTAATGCTCCAAAACCTGATGATGGAGGTAAGGATCCAATTAATGATGACGTGCCACGACCCAAAACCAAACGGGTCTCATTCAAAGCTTTCCGAAGTAGTGGAGCGACAGAATACACGGGACAACCAAATCCCATACTTGCGATGCAATGGATACATAACACCGAAAAGGTGTTTCGGATCACTCATGTACTCGACGACGACAAGGTGAGGTATGCGTCCGCGATGTTCACCGAGCGGGCTCTGGTGTGGTGGGATAATATTTTCGAATCTCTCAACCCAAATACCCGATAGAATATGACGTGGGAAGAATTTCGAGCTCTATTCTTTGAGCAATACTGCCCAACGAACCTTCAAAGACGCCTTGAGAAAGAGTTTCTGGATCTGAAGCAGAGAAATATGACTATGATCGAGTACGAAAATGAATTTAACCAAAAGGCACGGTTTGCCCAACGGTTTATGAATTCTGACCGAGACAAGATTGACCATTTCGTTGACAGACTACAACGAGAAATCCATGACTTCGTTGCGAACCGTGACATTCCGAGTTTTGCTAAAGCAATCGAATATGCTTGACGCCGCGAGCACGATTTGACAATACCCGATGATACTGTATCCGCACCGAAACAGCAAAGACCTTATAGGACCTATTCTGCACCATCACATAAACCATCACTATTCTTTATGCCAAGACGGGAGCAAATTCAGAGCACTCCTCGTGCTCCTTCTCAGGCCTAGATGTTACAGGTATAAGATTGTGAAAATTGTAATTGAATTATATGAACTATTAGACTAAAATTTTATTTTATCGTAGTCAAATGCACCGAGAAATTGCCAGAAATGTGGTAAAAGCCACTCAGGGCGATGCAATGTTGAACCGACAGGCTTACGTTGTTTCTGTTGTGGCGAGGTGGGCACATTCGTACGAATTGTCCTCGAAGAGAAGAAGCCTGTTATTCATGCGGGGTTCTGGGACACCGACAAAGAAATTGCCCTCGAGACAATCGAGAAGGCAGTAAAGCATCAGTACATCGACCAACGACGACCGGGGCCTCAGTCAAAAAGGAGGAGGTGCCCAAAGCACGTGCACGAGCTTTTCAGATTACGGCAGAACAAGCTCGCGAAGAACCCGAGGTGGTGACTGGTATCTTTCTTGTTAATACTTTACCCGCACGCATTCTATTCAATTCTGGAGCTACAAATTTGTTTATGTCACATTATTATACAATCTTCTTGAATTGTGTGCCCTTTATGCTCGATAGACCGTTTACTGTCAACATGGCAAATGGTACCATGTTAGTAGGTGATAAGATCTATAGAGACTGCACATTAGTGTTAGAAGACTACGAGTTCTTAGTAGATTTGATCCCAATAGATATACACGGCTTCGACATCGTCATCAGGATGGATTGGTTGGCAAAGAATCGAGTTGATATAATTTGTTCTCAAAGAATGATACGGATTCCGATTGACAACGGGGATTTCTTCTACATATACGAAGAACAACGAGTGGGTGACATTAAGGTAATTTCCATGCTTATAGCTCGTCAATATCTAACGAAGGGGTGTTCTTCTTTCTTAGCATGTCTTAGAAGAGAACAGTACAAGATGTACCAATCGTGCGTGAGTACCCCGATGTGTTTCCTGATGATCTGCCTGGGTTGCCACCAGACCGACACGTAGAGTTCCGAATTGACTTGATACCTGGTGCTGCCCCAATAGCAAAGACATCATACCGTCTAGCACCGGCTGAAATGAAAGAGATGATGAGTCAGTTGCAGGAGTTATTGAACAAGGGTTTCATCCAACCAAGCACTTCACCTTGGGTGCTCCGGTCTTGTTCGTGAAAAAGAAAGATGGTTTCTTCAGAATGTGTATCGATTATAGGAAGGCGTATGTGGGATCGATGTGCTACGCTATCTCACATATTTCACTTGAATCGACACTAGTTACTAATCTTCGAAAATGGCAACGTGAGGCTTTGAAGCCTGAATACATCAAGTCGGAGAGCATGGTTGGTTATTTCGATTCTTTATATGAAGACAGTCACGTATTAAAAGTCTTTAAAACCCGAATTTGGGTTCCGAGACTTGGTGGGTTACAAGATGTTATTTTGACAGAGGCGCACAAGTTCATATTGTCTGTTCATCCAGGAAGTACTAAAATGTATCATGATCTCCGATCAGACTATTGGTGGCCTGGGATGAAAACTGATATCGGCCATTACGTCGAGAAATGCGTCACGTGTTTACAGGTAAACGAGGAGCACCAGAAGCCGTATGCGAGTTTACAACCTTTGGAGATACCCGTGTGGAAATGGGAAGAGCTAACCATGGATCTTGTTACAAAGTTGTCTAAGACCTCTCGTCAGCACGACAGTATTTGGGTCATCGTGGATCGCCTGACAAAGTTTGCTCATTTTCATTTCGTTCGGGAATCATATAAGATGGATCGGTGGGTGCAACTTTATGTTGACGAGATCGTTGTGTGACATGGTGTACTGTTGAAGATAATCTCAGATCGTGACTCTCGGTTTACTTCTAACTTATGGTCTGAATTACACCTGGAACTGGGAACACGGGTGGCATTCAATACCGCGTATCACCCGCAAACTGACAAGCAATCTGAGCGTACCATTCAGACGTTAGAAGACATGTTACGTGCCTGTGTCTTGGAGTTCGGTGGGAGTTGGGATACTCATTTGCCTCTGGTCGAGTTTTCGTATAACAACAGTTACCATGCGACAATCGGTATGGTACCTTTTGAGGCTTTGTACGAACGTAAGTGCCGTACGCCTCTATGTTGGAAAGAAACTGGAGAAAAGATGCTTGCTGGCCCCGAGCTCATTCAGATTACTCACGACAAGATTCAAGTAATTTGGGAAAGAATGAAAGCAGCACGAGATAGGCAGAAATCATACGCGGATCGCCACAGAAGACCGATTGAATTCTCAGTCGAGGATCCTGTAATGCTGAAGGTTTCTCCATGGCGTGGTATACTCCGATTCAGAAGACAGGGTAAACTTAGCCCTTGTTTCATTCGGCCATTCAAGATATTGGAGCGTATTGGAAAGCAAGCGTATCGGCTTGAGTTACCAGAAGAATTCACAGGTATCCATAATGTTTTTCATGTTGGTTATCTAAGGAAATGTCTCTGTAAACACGAGGAGGTGGTGCATTAACGGAAGTCAAAGTAAACGAGAAACTGAGATACATTGAAGAACCCAAGGCCATCTTAAATGAACGAACGGTGAATCTGCGCAACAAGGTTGTGGAATTGGTGTTGGTTAAGTGGAAGCATCACCATGGGTTAATTGGACGTTTTATAACCACGGTGTTACATATAGATCATCTTAATGTGTGCTTATCTGAATTCTATTTTTCCCTAGTTTATAGGTAGTTGTTGTGTATTTAAACTTGTTTCTCTAGTTCTCAGTCAGATACAATTCAATAGAGAAATATTTTTCTCCTGTTCCAAAATCTTTAAAATTCTACAAACTAATCTACACCATCCAATTGGTTGATCAATGGCCTAAGATGAAGTGATGGCATATTGTGTAAATATGTGTATTAATTGATTTATTTTATATAAATATAGAACCCGCTCAGGGGTATTTTCGGTAAATGAAGTCAAGATTCAATCGCTCAAATTTCACCCAAATAACCAGGGAAATCATATCCCGAATTATATTGCGACTACACTGGAGCGGTTCTCGTATTCATAAATCGTTAAGCCAAATGATGGAAGACGGCCGATGATGGAAGACGGCTGAGAACACGATTAAGGGAACCAACCACAATTAATGAACCTCAATATATATTATTAGTAGATCAATATATTTTTTCTTTGTTTCTTTTATCTATATTTCATGATCGAAAAAATGTTTTTGTCTAGTACTCGAGTGTGTGTGTGTGTTAATATATTGCATATATTTTCATATATAATATATATATATATATATTGGTATATATATTTCTGCTTTGGGGCGTATGCCTCGCCTCATGGAGGGAAAACGCCTCGAGGCCCGATTTCGCTTTTTAAAACCTTGGTTCCTATCATACGATAAGACACAGGATATACACATGAGCATCCAGGCAAACTGCCCAGTCAACATCCAGCCGAATTGTACACACACCTTCCGTCTCGCTTAATGAAATGTTTCAAGTATTAATTTCTAGATCGACTTGTACCTAGTGCAAGTCTAGTTGAAGGTGGTTAGAGACATATGATAATATGTTCCTACATATACATAATATGATAACAAGTGAACTATGAGAAAGGGAAGACCGGGAGAATAGGAAGTCAAAACATAAACATAATTGTCCAATATTAAGATACACATTCAATAAGTGAACGTGTGATTCTGAGGGCATATAGCCATGTTGTAAAAACGAAAGAAGTCAAATGTAGAAGAAGTAATACATGGTTTATTAATTATCTGTCATTCTATGCTCGTTCTTGATGTTTAAATGAACAAGAGATGGAGTAAAATTTAAGAAGTGGATCCAAGAGACAATGGCAAACTTGATTACTCAATGCTCCAACTTATATCATCATCAGGGCTACATTAATTTATATACACGATTAAGCACCTAGCATAAACCATTCACCAATGCTTATAAAATGCAAAGCATTGAAATGAAAGAATCATTATAGCCATATGGAAAAACTTTGGTCATTCACACTTCTATTCAAATGATTAGAGAAGTGACTAACCTGAGACTTCAAGAATGCCAGAAGAAAATCATCATCCTTGGTCTTGCTACTTGGGTTTCTTTATGTTTTAGCTTTGTTATCGCCAAACTCTCAGCACCAACATAACAAGGGGTGTCTCCCAGACTCTAATCATCAAGTCAGCCTGATAGATCCAACTTGTACATTTCGAAATCTTAACAGTGCAGGGAAACTGCAATAAGCACATCACAGGCTTCAGAAAATAAGAAGTTAGCCACATGAAAACAATCAAGCGAAACAATTCAATTTTCTTTGCTGGCATACCTGATCAAAAAATCATATAAAATAGACTCTGAACCAGCTAGATAAACCAAGCTTCTCTCACCAATAATCTCCACAAGAACACTCCCCACCCTTGTAATGATGAAACCGATTGGAATCCCTAACAACTATCTCCCGGTTTTCAAGTCTAGATATCAGTTTTATTGCAGCATGACAGTTTACACATGCACGTAAATTCTTGGTTATCCTAAGTGTAGTTCCATAAGGAGTACTGATAAGCCCATAAGCAATTGCAAGCCTTTCACTATGATTGCAGAGACTCTCCTCCTTGTCTTCATAACTCAAGTCATGTAAAGCAGAATCTGTATCTGCAACAAATCCAGCCTCTTTCAACCTCCTGTCCAACCTCTTATGCTCCTTATATATTTCATTCGATCTTGGATGTGAGATGTCTCCCATACGAAAGACGTGAAGCTTCCCTTCAATCTCTATCATACTACACCCCATGTCCTTGGTCAATCCTCTCTCCTTCATCAACACTCTAACCCTTGCTACACCACTCCACATAAAGACTGAAGCATAGAGATTGGACAGCTGTACATAATGCCCTGTATTGCAAGGGTCTAACGAGAAAAGCTGTTGTGCAGAATATTCTCCTAGTTCCACATGGCGATAAATCCGACTTGCACTCAGAAGTGCTCCCCATATCGACACACCAGGTTTGATTGGCATCTTTGTTATAAAATCATAAGCCCGTTCCAAACACCCTGCACGACCAAGAAGATCGACGACACAAGCGTAGTGTTGATAGCGTGGTTCAATACCATAGTCTCTTATACTGTCAAATATTCTCCAACCTTCTTCTACAAGTCCAGCATGATTGCATGCTGTAAGAAGCCCAATGAATGTGACATCATTTGGGCGCACCCCAGCTTGCTTCATCAAATAGAAAAGGTTGATCGCTTCATGTGCCCTGCCATGTAAGCCGTAGCCAACAATCATGGCACTCCAAACAACTATGTCTTTGGTTTTTGTTTGATCAAAAACTTTCCGGGCTAAGTCTATGCTTCCACATTTTGCATACATGTCAATAAGCGCTGTGTTGACAAACACATCAATTCTATACTCGCTGTTGTCGATGTATTCACCCATCTTTCTTGCTTCTTCGAGTGATCCCAGTTGCGCACAAGCCAGGATTGCAGAGCAAACTGTTACAGTATCTGGTCTTAAATTTTTTGACAACATTCTTTGGAAAAGTGTTATAGCTTCATTGCAGCAACCATTTTTTGCAAAACCAGAAATCATCGCGTTCCACATAATCACATTGGATATCTCCATTTCATCAAATAAAGATTTGGCAATCATCACATTCCCACATTTTGCATACAACGTAGTCAGAGCAATCCGCAAGTCCAGCTCAAACTCAAGTCCCATCTTGATCACACAAGAGTGTAAAGATTTCCCTTGTCCCAAGTCCTCTATGTCAGCATAGGCACTGATAACACTGACCAAAGTAATCCAATCTGGTTGCAAACCATAATTCCTCATCTTTTTAAAAATCCTTAAAGCTTCAATTGGCTGTCCATTCTGAGCATATGCTGAAATGATACTAGTCCATGACACAATCGTCCTACCACCCAACCCCTCAAACACATTTCTAGCATGATCAATTCTACCACACTTAGCATACACAGCCACAACCCCATTCTGCACAAACACATCCCGTTCGAACCCACCCCTGAAGATCTGCCCATGTACCGCCTGACCAACTTCGAAGGCAGCTGCTCCTCCACATGCCTTAAGCACATGAGGCAGTGTGAAGCAATCTGGCCGGACACCCACGTTTTGCATTCGAGTGTACAACATAAGAGCTTCATCAAACATGTTTTGCTTGGAGTAGCCCCGAATAATAGCGTTCCACAAAAATACATATGGTTCAGGAAATTCATCAAACAACTGGCGTGCATACGAGATCTCCCCTACATTAGAACTCACGTGGATAAATTTCGTGACGATGTACCCGTTATATTGAAACCCAGTAACAATTATCTGGGAATGAATTTGATTTAGATGTCTCCTGCAAGTTGATCTATCAAGAAGGGACGTGTAGAAAGATTCGGGATTGAAGATGCTGTTGTAGATATTACTACGGTTTTTCAAGTCGTGACCCGTAAATGATTGGAGATCTAGAATCTTTGTGGACAGAGAGAATCTCGTCAATGTTTTTGGAACAGCAAGATTTCCAGCCATGTTATCGAAGACATATCACGGCATCTTTACAGAAACCGCAAAAGCAACGAAAAGTATTCTGTTTTGAAGTGGGAAAAGTACCTACTTAAACCAAATTCTCAGCTCATTTCTCTTGCTTGATAAATAATGAGAAAACACAAACTTAAGTATTTTCAATTGATTAAAGTGTCTCAACTATTTTTTTAAATGAAAAAAAAATTAATTTTTTTTATTTTAAATGATTAAGTTATTTAATATTATTTTTTTAACAAATAAATCATTAAACATTTAAAAATTGATTAATTAGTCATTTTAATTCAAAAAAATTATCCATAATTGGTTTAAAATGTTCAAGAATATAAAAAACTTAAATTAGTTTTATCGTTCTCAAATTCTATCCTACTAAAACATCTCATACCCAACGGAATCACTCCTCTTCATCACCCCATCTTCGTCCATTCTCTATACCAACCATTACCGTCATTGGACCCTATCATCGATCTTTCTCTTTTTATCTTTTTTTCACTTTCGATTCTACCTCTTTTATAACATTTTAATGGAGTACGTAGATAGATCAAAAAAAGAGAAATCGAAGAATGAAAAAGAGCTGATAAAAAGGGAGATCGATGGTAGTGGCCCAATGACTGTGATAGAGAGCGGGCCAAGAGGGGGAGTGATGATGTTGGATACAAGGGGTATTTATCACGTAGGATTGGGAACGGTAAACTGATTTCGATTTTTTTTACTTTAAAACTACCTGGCCAGTTACTTGTTTTTTTTTTGGGTTAAAATTATGTATGTAACAAATTTCAAGAAGGTCGATTGTTTATTTATTAAAAGAAAATGATTAAGGGCTTGATCATTCAAAATCAGAAAATTTAATGGTTTATTCATTCGAAAAAATAATTTAGGGACTTGATCAATCAAAATGGAAAAAATCGTTGTAATTTTTTGAACTTTTCCCATAAATAATCAAGTACAAGGCACGGCGATTAAATTGAAGATATAGCAAATACGGGAAATTGACTAAGGGTTGTTTACCAACAATAGTTGGTAAGTGTTGTCTGAAATACAATCAATGAACAAAATTACAAATTTAATTATTGAATTATATTTATACAAGAAAATAAATTAAATTTCAACAATTTGTGTACACAAAAAAATTGCAATAAAAGACTTGAACAAAGAACTTCACATATGAAAAACAATGAACTAACCAACAGACCAGTGATGATTTTATAAAAAATATCCATACATTTGTTTTTATAATCAAATGATATCACCGCTTGTAAAAAAATTAGGTCCGTCTTCGACATCTTTACTTTTTCTGGAAAACAATTTCACATCATTTTCTATATCCACCAAGACACACTAGTCAAAATTGGAAATTTTTATACAAATCCACAATAGTAATAATGAGCATGGATTATCATCTAGAGATGTAGATACCAAACCTTAAATATTTACAAGTCCTAATCACTCTTAGACGCATACACGGCAATATCTTTACACGATTGTTCAAGTAAATTGGATAAACGCTAATCAAATAAGTAAGACTCTTGATCTTTGTTGAAACGTCTCGTTCAACGATATTGTGGGAATGTGAATCAAACGATGTGGGTAAACAACATTACCCGATAATATGGAGCAAGTGTTTAGTAAGTAGGAAGGATTCAAGTTGTGGCTAGGGATTTGCCAAGGTAAGAATTCTATGCATCAAGTTTACATTTTAACGATTCCCCACTAACAAAGATATGAAGAGTTACGATGATGAACAACTGTAGTGAAAAGACGATGATGAACTGCAAGAAGGAGGAGGAGTTAAGTGATGGGGATGGCTGTGTTCAGCGGTCGATATAGTGCAGTTGGTGGTCTTTTGTGAACGGTAAGGGGATTGCAGTCGATGATAAGAGAAATACACTTTGTTGTCACAAAGTGTGAACATATATATCAAATATATTGGATTTAGTTTTTTTTACTATTAGCTAGCATGTTTTTCAAAAACTAAGGGGCCGTTTGGTTCGCGGAATTCGAAGGAATTTGATGGAATTTGAATGATAAATTTCTTTGACCAAATTCCATTCCTTTGTTTGGTTCATATCTTGAAATTGATGGAATCCTTCAAATTCCAATGAATTCCACAAGTTAAAGAATTCATCATTCCTTAGCATAATGAAAGGAATTGAATTCCATCAACACCCACAACGACCATGCTACTACTGTTTGTGATGCCCCACCCCTAACCCTCCACTACCACCACCACACCACTAATGTCGCCGCCACCCACCCTACCCCACCATTACCACCATGCCATTAATGTTGTCATCACACTCACCCACCCTCGGTCACTCACTGCACGTCCCTGCTACGACCATGCTACTACCGTTACTGTCACGCCCCTAACCTAACCCCCCACCACCACACCATTATTGTCGCTATCACAGCTGCCACTCACCCCCACCCC